ATTCTTCAGATTGCAGCTTTTTTGTGACTATATACTGTGTAGAAAGAAGAGTTTCCAATTCTGCAAGATCATTCCACAGTCTTTCTGTTAGTGAAACATTAGAGTTAATTACATCTTCTAAAAAAAAGGTCTAAATTCTAACAACCTCTTTATCATCAAATATGTACTTCCTTATTGCGTTGCTTGATCAGTAATTGTTCCCTTTTCTGCTCGCTTCCTAAGAATGGAACCAATTTTGGGAGTTATTGCTGCTTACCTAAATTTGCCAGTGAGATCTGTAGCTAAATGAATCAGTTTAATCACTAATGACAAATATCACATCCATCTTCCTCCCTTATATTTATTTATTAATATGTCATTAAAATAGAAAATAACTAGTTATTAATGTATATAGTCCATAAATAAAAATAATAATTCAGATTTTCATTAATTTTTTTAATTCATTTTAATTTCATTTCAAATTCAAACTGTCCAACAAAAACTGGAGTCTGAGTCGGCCTGATTAGACCTAATTAGGTGGCTCGACTGTTTGGAAACAGACTTAAGAATTTTAAAAATAACCATTTGGATGTCCATGGCCCAGGGATAGAAGAGCTTGGAATTCGATTCTGAGGAAGGCAAAGGCCTGTCCTTGGCTGTCTGGCCATTGAAGAAGAAAACTTAACAGAAGCACACCCCGGATAATATTTTGTATATAACTTTTTTATCAGTATTTCACTGCTCAACAAGCTCATTTCAATGGGTCATCAGGCAACAGGTACAGTGCAAAAAGATTGTATTGACAATTGTCCGCTGCAATCAGACGGTGCTCGCAAAAAGAAACAGGCAAATTTGATTATCTAATGGCAAAGGCAATATTATTTGCAGATGACAACAGTATTGTGATCGTTGCATCATCTGGAGCTGGTGTCAGTTCTGTGTGCTTTGTTATTCGTTATTCTCAGAAACAGAAAAAGAAGATCCAAGTCTAGCAGCCAAATCTGATCAAAGTTTATAATCAAATTATGGGAGGTGTGATCAGAACTGATGAAAACATTGATAAATACTGAGCATCAATTCGTGGCAAGAAGTGGTACTCAAGCCTGTTTTTCTTCTCTTTTGAACTGGTTTTACAAAATGCTTGGCAACTGCATTAAACTATGAGGAAATCAGGTTTTTTTAATTCATCGAGTGGATTCTTATTTAGACTCATCTACAAAACCAGCAAAGAAACCTCGAAAAGCAAATGATTATGCATGTCTAATTAATGTTTCACAAACTATAATCAATCAACAAATGGACTGTATTCCTACACTTTTATTTTATTACACTTGTCAGCGATGCGAAATAATTGATACAAAATAAGCGAGCCATTCTACATGGCTGTCACAAACACAATTCTATCAATCAATTATCTTGTTGCCACACATAAAGTTCAAAACTAAAGAAGAAAAAACAAAAGGAATTTACGCTGTTTGCAACAATAAAATGAAGCAAACGATACTCACATAAACATCCTGGCCCTCGTTGAAATCCCAGGGGATTTCAACAGTTGGAGCATTTTGAAACTTCTTAGTCTGTAATAAAGATAAACATAAGAAAAATAATACAAAATATTATATGCGAAGCAGTTCATAGTTTTTTAGTCTGAATAGGAAGAGGACACAATTTCACGACTGGTCGTTTTATGACACCATGACCAGTTTTAATACTACTAGCAACTCTGACTCTTTGATCTGAGCCCGGATGAACAGCAATTATTCTCCCTAACCTCCATTTAAGAGGCGGAAGGTTGTCTTCTTTGATGAGGACTAAGTCATTGACTTCTAAATTGTTTTGACTTTTTTGCCATTTAGGTCTTTGTTGAAGCTGAGACAGGTATTCTCGACTCCATCTTTTCCAGAAGTGCTGAAAAATAAACTGTCTCACATGCCATCTGTCAATGTGATTGAAGGAACTATAATTTAGGTCTGGTTCAGGTATGGCAGTTAAAGACGTTCCTATTAGGAAATGACCAGGTGTTAATGCAGTTAAATCATTTGGATCAGCCGATGTTGGACACAATGGCCTAGAGTTGAGACAAGCCTCAACCTGCGCTATCAAGGTCTGAAATTCCGGATAGGTCAGCACAGTATCACCAACAGTCCTTTTTAGATGTAATTTCATTGACTTTACTGCCGATTCCCATAGTCCACCAAAATGGGGAGATGATGGCGGGTTGAATATCCATTTTATTTCCTCTAAAGACAAAAATTTGTGAATTTCTTGATTTTGCTTACATTGCAAAAAACATTTTCTGATTTCTTTGTCTGCACCTTTAAAGTTAGTACCGCAGTCACTATAAATCTCAAATGGTTTCCCTCTTCTTGCAATAAATCGTTTCAATGCACTTAAAAATGCCTTTGTTGACAAATCTTCTACCACTTCAAGATGTACTGCCTTGATTACAAAACACACAAATAAGCATACGTAATATTTAAATGATTTTTGTCCACGTCCTGCACGATGTTTAATCATGAACGGTCCAGAAAAAATCTATTCCAGTTCGATGAAATGGTCGCGATTGTGTTACTCTAGATTCCGGTAGATCAGCCATTATTTGACTTGCAGTTTTAGCTCTAAGTTTGCAACACGTGATACAAGATTTCTTACTACTTTTCGGATAGCAGATCTAGCAGCTATGATCCAAAATTGCTGTCTAATTAAAGATAGAAGAAGTTCCGGTGCTGCATGCAGATATTTGACATGAAAGTGTCTAATTATGATTTCTGTCAGATTGTGTTTTGAAGGTAATAAGATTGGATGTTTTTCATTTTCTGATAGTTGCGCATTTTTCAGTCTTCCTCCTACACGTAACACTTTGTTGTCATCTAAAATTGGACACAAGCTAAGGAGGTTGCTGTTTGTAGGTAAGTCCTTTCCCAACTCCAAACATTGAATTTCTTTAAAAAAGTGAAATCGCTGTATTATTCGGACAATACAGAAAGTTGCAGCTCGAATTTCATTACTAGATAAAAAAAGACGTATTTCTTTCTAGATATGCTACTTTAGAATTCGATATGAATCTTAATATCCAAGCAAATATGCGTTGTAACTTTGGAAATGAAGATATATTTGATATAATAGCAAGTTCCTGTACAGGTTCAGAAACTACAAATGAGACTGTTTTACGTGCATCTGGTAATGCCTCTTCATCTATAAGAATATTTTTAGACAAGGCAATCTCACTGCACTTTAACCAAGAAGGACCATTCCACCACAATTGATGAGATAATAGTTCTGCAGGAAATAATCCACGTGAAGCACAATCAGCTGGATTTTCCTTTCCATCAACATGACTCCAGTTCTCAGGTGGTAAGATGGATTGTATTTCAGAAACTCTATTGGATACGAATACTTGCCATTTTTTAGGATCTGACCTTAGCCATGACAACACGATTTGTGAATCACTCCAAGCTTGCACTAAATCAAAATTTATAACTAATGCAGCTTTTACAGACTGAATCAAGCGTGCCAATAACACTGCTGCACATAATTCCAGTCTTGGAATCGTAATAGATTTTAATGGTGCTACACGAGTTTTAGCTGTTACGAGTTTAACATTAATGTCAGAGTTATTGCAAGTTTTGATATAAATAACTGCTGCATAACCTCTTTCAGACGCATCACAAAATCCGTGAAGTTCACATCGAAAATAATCAGGTAGCAGAATTTTCCTAGGTATATTTATAGAATTCAAAAGTTTAACTTCTCTACATAGATTTCTCCAATTTCGATCAATCTCTTCTGTTACAGGATCATCCCATGATAACTGTAATTTCCACAATTGCTGAAGGATCATTTTAGCGAGGATTACAAACGGAGTTATCCACCCCAATGGATCGAATAGTTTTGCTACGAATGACAAAATAATTCTTTTAGTCAGAACACTTTGATACTCTATTACACCGACATTACATTTGAATTCATCATTGTCTGGGTGCCATTCCAATCCCAGAACTTTCAATGGTTTGTCTTCAATTCAAACATAATAGAGATATTCTAGGTGACTCCCGTGAAGTCACCTAGAATATCTCTATTATGTGCAAGTTATGTTCTACATGTGAAGTGTTCAGTTGAATATCGCTCCGAATTATGTGATATTGTGTATGCTTATGTATGAAGTTTAAATCTGTGAAGTGTTTAGTCATTAAAAACCACTTTTTAAGATAAGTTCAAGAGTCTTATATAATAAGTATAATACAATGGATTTAACTAGCACTCCATTTTTGGAGCACCGCGTAACTATAAAATGGGTTGAGAAGTTAATTTTTGGTCTTTAAATTCTTGCTTCTTATATTTTTCTGCTAACATACATTAATTTCATGCATATTTTCCAAAAATTTAAACCTCGATCATAAATGGGTTAAACTTAACTTAATCATGTGCCATTTGAGTAAGTTTTTGTCCGTTGGAAGAAAAATCAGACTTTTGAAGAAAGTTATAGATTTTGAATCTGTTTGCACCAAATTCTTAGTTATTTGCCCAACCACTGACAAAACATTTAAGTTGTTGAATACTGGTAGTTCAATCTGTGTTCAAATCATGAAAAATTATCTAGCTGCATGGATGTTTTTATAGTTTTCCTTCTGTGTAACATGGATATGAGCCAGTTTTCCTTTAAAAAAATCCTGTATGAAAGCATCCCTTTCTCCTGCTCTTCCCTATCCGTTCACAAGGCAAGTAGTCCTTGTTTGCATTATCATAATCAAATAAACAAAACGAAATTGTAAAGTTATTCTTGTAGTTACTTTTATTATATGCATAACAGGAAAACTGTAGAAAATGTAATTGATAATGATAAATAACAGCATGTGAAACTGTGGGGGCAAAATGAGGAAAGCAAAGATAAATGTAAATGTTAAGCAAGGATGGCTCTTTTATAGCCAAGAAAATATGACTGGAAAGTATCCAGTCAGTGTGAAAAATTAATGTTTTTTATTAATGTCACAATAATGGTATATATATATTTTCTTTTATAGGTAGTTCTTAAGATCATCAAGCACTGCCATGAAGAAGGAGCGGGAGTTACTGATGTTGCTCAGGGTGTATTATTAGGTCTTGGTGTTGACAACCGCTTAGAAATCACAAATTGCTTCCCATATCCACGTCATACTGATGAAGAGGACTTTGATGAAAGTAATTGGCTATGCTAATTTAATTCAGTCTCATAAGTTTCTATTTTAGTCAAAGCTTCAATTGTATGAATTTATAATTTTTTATCTTATTTTATTAATTCAGATTGGATGTTATGTATTAATATGAAATTTTATTTCTTTGCATTTTAGTGGAATATCAGATGGAAATGATGAGGCATCTCCGTCACGTCAATGTTGATCACCTTCATGTAGGCTGGTACCAAAGCACACATTTTGGAAGTTTTTATAATAAGCCACTTTTAGAGTCTCAATTTAATTACCAGAGCTCAATTGAGGAATCTGTTGTTTTGATATATGGTAAGTATAAGATATTCACTGTTGCACACTGTCTGACAAAGTTTTTACTGTAAAAGCATTGTGAAATGATTCTGTGTGATTTGACTGTATAAAACATTTTGTACTTAGCACTGCACTTACTTAGCATTTAATTTGGGTTCTTAGCTTATATTGCACAATGTGCAATGGTCACGAAATTTTCAGATTTTGCCAAACTCTTGCAACTGTGTACATAAGGCCCATATCACAGGGGCATTTATTTCACATTAACAACTGTTTCGGGCAGTTTTTCTGCTTGGTTTACTATTGAAAGAAAGACTCGCGATTTTTCCTTCCTTTCAAAAAAAAATTGCAAGTTGTTCGTTTTCAACCAATCAGCTTTCAGCTTGTATGTGATGGAGAACAGTTTCCCCTGTGTTAACCCCAAAGCGATCTGTGATAATTGGCTGTTGTGACAATGCAGAAAAATTGTTCCAAAACAAACTGATGTGTGATAGCAGCCTAACAGTTCCTCAGTTTTTAAAATCTACATCCAAATTTTCATGTGTGTTATTTTTGTGGTTTTTATAGAAAAACTGTGATACTTTTCATATTTAATTCCACTCTAAAATGTGTTCTTGTAAGGGCATATTTTAAGAATGCATGACTGATTGAAGCTGTGAAACATAACATTCAGAAGAAGGTTTGGAATTAGTAACATTCAGCATATCTGAAGGTAATCTGAGTGTGGTGTCATAAAGAAGTTTATCACATGTAACATTTATATTCTTTTTAATGGCAGATCTTATACCCTGCAAAAACTATTGGCAAAATTTCAGTGTTGGTGCTTACAAGGCATGACTCCATGTCCCTAAAACAATTAACTTTATTAACACAACTATTTCATAAAAATACAGTAGCTAATACAAGATACTCAAACTTTACAGAGCTCATTGTCAAAGCAATATAGTGTCAGCTGGTGGCATGGGCAGCTATTATAAACAATATGTCAGCTGGCACAGCATGCAACATAACAAGAGACAACCACGGAGTTTCCTCCCAGTGGCACTACAATCACAAAACAAAAGGGATGATTAATAGATTCCAATAAAAGATATACACATTCTGATAAAAGTTATACTTTAAAATTTACATATAAAATACAAGATGTGTAAATAGTGATATACAAGTAATAATATAATGTGAAATTCTTATTGAAATATATAACAATACAATGCTGGATACTGTGAGTAATTATTTGTAATTTTCTATTCATTTAATAACAGCATGAGGTCCAGTGTATGGTGGTGTTAGAGGAGGTTAATAGAATCGATCCTCGGAAATACATGAGAACAGGTTTGAAGTGCTGGATGTACATAAATTGATGGTTGAACATACTTAAGGTTGGAATTTGTCTAAAGGTGGTATGGAATTAATAACATTCAGCATATCCTCAGATAATCTAAGTGGTGTACAGTAAATAAGTCTGGCACATATAGCATTTATATCCTTTTTAATGGCAGATGTTATACACAACAAAATTATTGGCAGAATTTCAGTCCATTTTGCATTGTTATGGATCATTATTGCACTTTCAAGCTGCATGTAAAATCTTTCAGTCAGCCCATTGGTCTGAGGAGGGTAAGCAGCAGTTTGAATGCGGTGTGTACCCAAAACTTTTATAAAATCCTTAAATGTGTGTGTGTGATTATGGCAAAGCCTCTAGGGCTATCTGCCTAACGGGAGGGATGCCTTTGTGGAGGACTTTCTAAGGGAAACTGGCTCGTATACACGTTACACATGGGGAAAACCACGCCCATGCAGCCAGCCCGTTCGCGGGATTCGAACCTCGGACCGAACTACCAGTGTTCAGCGACTTTACCGCTCGGCCGCTGGTGGGCTCAAATCCTTAAATAGGTGAGATTCAAAATTTCGGCCTTGATCAGTTGTTGCTGATACAGGGCAGCCAAATCTAGCTATCCAGTTATGTACTAACACTTTACAAGTTGTCTGAGCTGGCATGTCAACAGTAGGTATAATTTATGGCCATCTGGTAAAGCGGTCAATAATTCTCATGGAGTAACTGTTACCTTCAGACTGTAAAAGAGGACCTATGAAATTAATGTAGATGTTTGCAAATCTTGCATCAGGCAAGGAAAAAGTGATTTTAAATGTCTATTAATTAGAAAACGTTTGTATTGTAAGCCAGACTGAGCGGCAGTTTTAACTAATTTCTTCATGTTAGACCAAAAGTATCGCTTGGAATAATAGTGATTAGTTTTGTTGAGACTGAAATGCCGGCATGAGAAGGACAATCAACCTGCTGAAAAATTTTGAAGCAAAAAGATTCAGGAATGAATGGACAAGGTGTATCTGTGTCCATATTGCAGTTAGAGTAACATCTTCTAATGGAAAATAAGGTTTTTCTATTTAAAAACAGGTGAAGATTGAGAGAGAGAGTTTTGAATTTCAGAGTCCTGAAATTGTGATTTAGATAACTTTTTATAATCAATAGGTTGATTATCAGAAACTGCATCTATTTCTACGTTGGATAAGATGTAAGCAACAATGTTGTCACAACCTTTAATGTATGGTAGTATATCAATAAAAAATTGGCCAGTAAAATCTAGATGATGATGTATTGTCGTGAACAATTTTCAGTCTTTTTCTTAATAGCATATGTTAGGGGCTTTTGATCTGTGCAGATTATAAAGGCCCTGCCTTCGAACACGTACCGAAATTTCTTGATCAACAAATACACTGCTGCCCATTAAAATTGCAACACCAGGAAGGAATGATCTGACAAACCTCAGAATCATGTGAAAGTTGGGACATGCAAATGTAGTATTTCAGCCCATTTAGGCTATACAGGAGGAAGAAATGACATCTGCAGCACTGCATAAAAGAAAAGTTGTATAGTGGATTTCTCATTCGGAAAGTGCTTTGTAAGGTTGGAGTTTGGTCAGAATATCGTGTTATGCCTCGAATAAGAGGATAAGTTTCAAAATTCGATAGAGGCAAAATCATTGCCTATTGAAAGTGTAGATTATTGTTCATTGATATGGCCGGTCACACTGGTTGACAGTCAACCACTGTCATGTGAATATGGAATCGGTGGATTGATAAGGGCATGCTGAGTCTCAACGCCCTCCCATAACTAATGGCAGAGAGGTCAAACATATTGTAAGGCCAGCCCTGGAAAACCGTACAACCATATCATGTTTGTTGTTGGTTACGCATTGTAACTCAAATGTATTGACAACTGAATATTAAATTTTTAGACTTATGTTTATTTCAATATTTCAGACTAAGTAAATTCAAATGTTAATTTGTTTAACTAATCATTAAAAAATTTGAACTAAAACTAAACAAATTATGAAACGTTTGAAAAATTTTCTCTGAAAATTCACAAGTGGGATAAAAATGAGACTAAATATTTTCAATAAATAATTTTATTTATTAAATTTTTCTTAAAAATAAATGCATAAATAAAAAGTGCACATATTTGTATATAAATAATCATAAATCTCTTTAGTTTTGCAAAAGCATGACACTTGATAATGTTTATATTCCGAAAGTTTGTAGCCTTGGAGCAAAATTGTCTTCACAAATTATAGATGCTCGTCATCACCCGGATTCTTATTTTATTAATTTTCAACTTTGAGGTAAAACTGTTAAAATGTATTTCAAAACAAAATGGTTATTTTTAGCATAAAATTTTGTAACTGAGCTTATTATTTATTTTTTTAACAAATGCAAAGAAAAGTCGATAAAATCTGTGTTTTTAAGTCTTTGAATAAGACTGTTATTATCATAAATTAATTAGCTCCATTTACAGATTTTCTGATGCATTATTCATGTTCATCTTTTAATGCTAATGAAATTACTATAAACTAGGAATTTAAATAACTAAAATCTTGAAATCTTTTGCAACAAATACATAATTGAAATGTATTTGGTGGCCACATAAAATTGCCTCAGGATCCGCATGCTGCCAGTTTGAGACAACTGTCGTATACCATACAGGTTCAAGCATCAAATTTTATTTTAAGATGAGTAATTCTTTCTTCATATGCTTTAGGTATCAAATGTAATCGTGAGTTGCACAAACTTGGGATTGTGCTTTCGCTATGCCAAAATTCCATTGTAATCTTTAAAACTTTGTAACTCCAAAATTCCACTGTAATTCTTTAAAACAAGAATAAATTTACTCAATGCAAAAAGAAATAATAATTGGAAAGAGGCAGTTAAATTTCAAAAGTTTAAACCCAAGTGTGCTAGGCTTGTACTTAGGTGTCCTCATAAATACTTTTGGATGACATGGTGTGTTTCCCCATCAATACTCTTTTATTATTATTATTATTAAAAAGTGTCCATGAAACCATTTAGACTGAACTTTGTTTTGTTTAATCCACACATTCAATGCAAAACTCACTGACGTGTATAAGACTAAACAAACATCTTTATTATGCATATTAATTGCATTTTGTGTAAATTTAAGTTCAGGAACAGGCTTTGCCTCATATCACTTTTGTATGTTGTTATGAGTTTGAGCAAATGCTGGTAATAAACTGCCCTCTTTTAACACATTTGTTTTTCTTTGCATTTTATTTTGAAGGCGTGATAAAATGTCTTTCAGAATAGTATATTGAGAAGTACCCAGTCAATATTTTTATTTAATTTAGTTTGCTGATTTCAATAAATTAGATTTTTTTAGACAGTTTCATATTTGTTCCTCCCTGAAAGTTTAGGAGGCCTTCTGTATCTCTTACAATATGACTAAGGACTCTTTAAATAATTTGTAGTACATTATTATTACAGTAATATAATTTTTAAAAATTATTATGAAAATAAAACATTTATTTCTCAGTTTTTTGTTTAAACAACATTTAACTTTTATGCTTGATGATTTTATATGTTCTGAGAATATTTTAATTGATAATTTAAGGAAGGTGAGGAATGTGGGGAGTAATAAATTTCAAATTCTCAGAAAATGCATGTTAAGAAAATTGTTTGCTTTTTACATGAAATTTTTATTTCTTCTTATTGCTGAACGCTATATTTGAATTTAGAATTAATTCTGTGTTTTAAAAATTGCTAATTTTATTTTAGATCCAATGCGAACAAGTCGTGGTTTTCTGTCCTTGCGAGCTTACAGATTATCCAATACGGCAATGAAACTGTATAAAGAAGGCGAATTTACTTTAGACATGTATGTATGATACTTTTAAAAACATAAATAAGCACATTCTAAATCAGTGGTTCCCAAAGTGATTCCTATGGACCTCAGGGATCTCTGGCAAATTAAAATTAATTTGTGAGTTCATGGACAGTGTAGGGGATACATGAATAAAATAATAAAATAATTGTGGCACACTTTCATTATTATGAAAGTTAAATAGCAATAAATAAATTGAGCAGTTTTATGTCCTGAGTAAAGTAAAACAAATTCTCTCTCTTTCTCTCTCTCTCTCTTTTTTTTTTTTTTTTTTTAATAAATCCTTAACCAGAATATAGTACTTAGCCTATGTGCCTTCTATGCAATAAAATTTTATTAAGTGAATCAATAAAACTTAAAGAACATTTGACAAAAAATCTTAGCAACAAGTAATAAATAAAGGTTTAACTTTTTTTAGAACATTCAAAGAAAAATATTTGGAAACACCGTTATTGAGATAACATCGAAGAAAGATAACAATGCATTTTGTCTTATAACATTTCTTCAATGATTGGAAATTTGCACACCATTGGTGAAAAACTTGTTCTACCAGCTGTGAAGGAGGTAATATGTACTGTGCCACACAAACCAACTTTTGATATATCAATAAAAATTCCACAGAGTAATAATACAGTACAAAGAAGGACTGACAAAAGGGTTTAATGTATAATAAATTCTTTATGTGAGTACGTAAAAACATCTGAATTTTCTATACTGGTTGTCGGGCCAGCTTTGGCAGAAAATGAAGCTTTGCTTTTAGCTTAAGTGAGATTTCCAAAAGAAGAAAAAAATTTCCCAAGGATTTTTAAATGTTTAGGAACTGATATGAAAGGTGAAATAATTAAGATTTTTCATTGTAAAAGCTATACCCTTGAGTAATATCCTCTCTATGGCTATTGATAGTGTTCTGCCAATAATAGTACAACACTGAGACTTTCTGGCATACTTAAAACAAGCTATACTGCATGTATTATGTGTACATTGTGTCATTCATCAACAATATTTAATCACCAAAAATTTTAATGACTTCTTGCATGGCTCACTAGATTGTGTCATTAGAACAGTTAATAAAATAAAAGAAATGCTTTAAATGAAAGGTTATTTGTTCAGCTTTGAAAAATGATGATTATAATCGTTTACTATTTGGCATGGAAGTTTATTGATAGTCTAAAAACCGCATATTTGGATTGATTCATGTAGTCTTTGGTTCATTGTTAGAATTCCTGGAAGTTAAAGAATATAGTTTCTGGTTAAATTTAATTAACTCAAAATGTGGCTTAGCTTATATGAGTGACTAAATTGTCAAACTAGCTAAAAGGGAATCAATTAAATTTAATGAAAACTAAAACTATACTATCTGCATTTATTGCAAAACTTTTTCTATTAAAAAAAGACTTGGAGAATAATAATTTCAAAGCTGTGAAAATTAGGTAATTTGCTTGTTTATTATTAACACATAACAATTCTTCATTCTGACTTCAGCTAAAGATTTGAAAACATTCTTCATTAGGTTATTCCTGATTGGGTTTTGGACCCTTTTGTAAGTAGACTTGGATGAATCCATACAGGAGCAATTTATTGTATAATCCACAAATGAGGAGTTGAAACCAATGTTTCAACAAAGATACCACAAATTATGATTAAAAAACAGATACCAATTTTATGTCCTGCATTGTGGGTCACTGTAGAAAAGCTGTTGATTGCTTTCTTGTAATTTCCTGTTTAGTAGAATGTGGATTTATACAATTATGAGCCTCATCACGGAAAAAAAGAAACTGTATCGATATTAGTCCTCATGGAGAATTATGAACATTGCTCACGGACGTAGAACCAAATGTAAACAATCTCATATCATCCCATCTGATTGAAAAAAAAAAAAATTGCTTTGTATTTTAAAACAAAAGTTATAATTTCAATAAATACTGTTTTAAATATTAGAATGTTTTATTTATTAGCCCAGAAGGGCTATTAATTTCAGTTTGTGCATTTTGCATTGAAAACTTTAAATATCCGTATGAAGAACCTGCATAAATGTGTGTATGTTTCTCAAATTGTGATAAAACAATAGTACCTAGAGCCATCAAATTTTAAATAATGTAATCCTCCATTGAATATGGGCATTTGGAGACCTAATTTGGAGTTTGTTTTATTATTGATTTAATATTTTCTGAAACTTTTAACAAATTTTTTATTAACAAACTCAATGATTTCAAAATGAGCAGTGGCAACACTGTATGAAAAGAACATTTTTATCTCCAGCGTCCAAGATTGTCTGTCAGAAATTCTAAAAGTATGCTGTTTTTAAATTATTTTGTGATATTGCTGTTGAATTGAATTTTGTTGTTTAAGTGCAAAGAACATGATGTTTAATAAGTAAAGGTAACACACAAAATGTTAAAAGGCCCCTTTGGGTGTAATATAAAGTCTGAAAACTTTCAGTTTTTATTTATTTGCTTATTTAATTTTTATGTCACCATTTACCATTCAAGACATCAAAGCTAAATTTGTAATTTTTCTAAATTGCAATTATGTAGAGTCATTTCACATTGTGTTCATTTTCAGTTTTTTTGCAATGAAGGTGTCCATGGCCAAAAATAAGTTTGGGAACTGCTGTTCTAAATAAAAGTTGCATCATTTTATGTATAGCTGTTTTATATTTCATGTGTTTATAGCAAATGAAAAAACGAATGTGATGTAACAGTAATCTATGCATTTAAAAAGATTTTCTCTACCCTTAAATTATAAAATGTAAACTAAGCAGTTTTCTCTAAATATGTATAAATATAATTTCAGGTTGAAAAATCTTCATGTATCGTACTCAAAGATATTTGAAGAAATAACTGTTATTATTCGAAATTCTCATCTCGTGAAATTTATTGATGTGTGAAGTTGCCGATTGGATGCCAGAAGAGGAAAGCAATCAATTTCTGGACATGGGAACTGCGTAAGTGTTTTTAAAGCCTTTATGATATGGAATAATTTATTGTCATATAATGAAGCTTTTAAGTCTGATTATACTGTGAACCTTGAATCTGATGTTAAAAAAAGGTCAGGATAAGATTTTCATTTTTAATAAATTTTATTAATGCATACTGAGTTAACAGCATGGATTAAAATATGAAATCGTTGTTTAATCTGAAGCTTTTAAAGTGCAGACTTTATTTAGTCTTTTCAGAATTGGACAACTTTTTCTAAAGCAGTAGTTGAGGTGAATACTTCAAGACAGAAGAATTCATTTTTATCATCATACTATAGTTCTGCATCATGGTTATCTGATTGGAATTTTATCCTGCCATAATTTTAGTATATCTTTTCTTAGTTGAAGTTTCTCATTTCTACTGTTAATGAGCTTTAAAAAGTATATTGATTAGATTTTCTTCATTATTATCTTTTTTTCAAATTTGCTTAGGAGAAATTTTTTTTAGGAGAGAGGGGTCCCTTTTCTTCAAATGATGTCAGTCACATGCATTGCATGGACACTGAGGGTAGTAAGAGGTTTACCTTTATCATATAAAAATTCTTCAGCCAATTGTTATCCATACAAAGTTTTTATATTCACAAGCTTCTCAGTGTTTTCTTGATTAAGAAATTGCAAATTTGATGTATTCTTAGTATGTGAAAATTTCCTCCCTCTCCAGTGGTGGGCCCTCAGCCAACTTCGGCTTGGCCACAACCAAGGCCAGAAGTGGTGGTCACTTTATTATGGAGGCACCTAATAGGTGGGTCACCTTTGCCTCCGATGAAGGGGACAGCCAATTACAGCCATGCCTTCTCCAGGATTCGAACCCGTACCCTTTAGTATTGCTGTCGGCTCCCCTAACCACTATACCTTCTAGACAGTGCATGTGAAAACTTGTACTTCAGTGTTTTTTAAACTTGGGATATTGAAGTTAAATTATTGTAATCAAGGAAAAGGAAGATCCCTTTCCAAGAACCATGGTTTTCCTATTTTCTTTCAGCTAAGTCAGTAGAAATTTCTGTAATAATAATCTAGCCTTTCATGTGTGCTTTATATATTCTAAGAAATGGTTTAGTTTTAGTAAAACACCTGGGCTTTGTGTTTTTCTCCACAACATTCCTGTATTTTTACTATTATCTATTTTTTCACTATTTTATCAGATAATCACTGATAAAAGTTTCATTAACTAGTTTCATTGGCATTAAATATATCATCTGGTTTGGAGCTTTGTAATAAAGAAGGAAGCTCTTCATCACAGTAACAATTCATCACAAAAGTTTTCAGATTAGATACACTTTTGCTATAAGTTCCTCTAAAGATGAGAACAAAATTGTGTTTCTTTCCTTTTGAAGTTTTTGAGCCACCTTATGTTAGCTTTTAATTCATTAATTTATTACTGTTGTAACCAAGTTCCTATATGAATTTCTCAACTTTCTACCGTAACATTGATCCACTAATTGGAACTCTTTAAACACAGTATTGCTCAAACCATTTCTACTTCCCCACCCCCATATAGGTCTTCAAGTTTTTGAAATTTTTGTACTTTCATTATTTACACATTTGTATTGTTGTTTACGTTAAGTACTTAACGTTATGAAACACTTTCATTTAAAAATTTAAGTTTTTCATTCCTTAGTTTAATTTTTATCATGTTATTCAGGATTGTAATGTATATAGATAGAAAAATACTCAGCAATACTGAAATCTTCAAATTTTTAAAAGAATTGATTTCTACACAATGCAAAAGTGAGATGCCCAAAAAAGGGAATAAACAAAATTATTTTAGTTATTTCTTAATTTGTTGTCATTGTATCGTGTATTGGTTATTGACTTTCAAAAAATTCTGTCTGTGGAACATCATTAAGTTTAGATATTTTGCCTTTTAAAACACACTATCCCCCCTCTCCCGAAAAAATAATAATTGCGTTCTCTTCCACTCACATAAAATCTAGGAATTACAGATTAGACGTGCTTTCAAGCCATTGAGAACTAACTATTCAGCATTTCCAGAAGACAAGATGATATTGATTCATTTGTGTATATTTACTGATTTGACAACAAAATTGGAAATTTGTTATAGTAAGAGTTGCAAAGAAAGTTTTTGTTTGGGGGAAAGAGGATGTACTGGGGTATTTAAAGTAAAGAGGCTTAAGAATGTACTAAGGTTTGATTATATTTTAATTATTGATTTATAAATTGTGTCAAATGTCATTAAAAGTGTTTAAATGTCTAGTGGTACAATTGTGATGTCTTGTCAGCTAAAAATCTCGCTACTCAGGGTAGCTTTTAAATTTAGAGAACTCTTACCGCATACAATATTGAAAAAGTTTCCATGAAATTTCTTCATACCTTAGATCACAATTGCTAATGCATGTCTAGGATTAGCATTTAATGCAGTAGTTATATTTAATATCTTTCTCAGACACCTGTTTAATTATAGTACATAATTTATCAAGTGACATTTGCATTGAACACAGATTCTTTCCTGAATTTTTTTTTTTTTTTTTTTTCTAATTCATTTTGCTTTTCAATCTGTATCTCCTGTACATTTATTTCTATTCAAAGAAAATATTTAAAGTTATTAGGAATATAAATGACTAAAGTATTTATTTTGTTAGTTTCAGAGGTATGTTCCTTGAATTTTTATCAGCATGTATAAAAGAAGGATCTTAATTTTATTATGGTAGTCTTGTTAAAACTACCTTTTTATTGAAAGACATGGTTATCAGGTATATGTATGCATTTTAGTGGATGGGAAATACACAAAATTTATATAGGGTGCTTTCTAATTATCCGCACCACCACTGAAAAGTTGTTAAAAGTATTATGAGGCAAAGCAATATGTCACCAAATTAGTTATGTGACAACTCAGGTATGCACATAGCAGGTCTGTTTTGGCTGTTGCAGAAAGTAAAAATTGTACGAATGCCGAGCTCATACAATTGTATGGTGTTTTTAACTGAAAACAGATCACAGTGTGTATGGGAAATCGGCAACGCATTAAAAAAGAATTTCTCGAGAAAATTGATTTATTACCAATGTTTCTTGTATTTTGATTTTATTGACTGCTTGCTTTTTTAAGTCTTAGTGCTCTGCCATAAGTAGATAATGAGTTCATGATATTTCAGTGGGGTTGTGGATAATCTGAAAGTACTTTGTATATAATAAAATTAAATGGAAATAAAGTATGTAAACTAAAAACACTAGAAATGCTGTTGTGTATCTCTATAATAATAAATTCAGAATTTTTTTTAATTATTTTTCTTTTTTAATATCTATTTTTGTTACAGGAAATATGTTATCTCTACTTCAGGCACATTAACTATTACCTGTTTATTTAATTCAAATTAACTGTAGCAGAGATTTTTTTTCACTACAAAGAATATAATAATGTATTGAATTAATTCTTATATCTACATACATATATGTAGAATGTAACTATTAGAACAGTCCTATTGATGACAACAGTAGTGACAGTAATTTAATGATGAAAACGATAAGCACTCGAACATAATTAACAAGAAGGTAACACATAAAAAGAAATAAGAAGAAAAAAGTCTGTTTATAGCATCATAAAAACGGTATATCATATTAAGTGAAATCGCATCATAAAAAGGATTCGGAGTTCTTTTGGTTTCCCAAACTTCATCATCATTTCCGTCTAGCATCTCGTCTGCTGAAAATGCTCACATGATCTTGCTGGTGAGCGCTTTGCCGTTATTACTTATAAAAAGAAGCATATCCCCACACGGCCATTCTGCAGCACTGGACGTCCATGGCTGGTTGAAGATGACGAGATCTGAAAAGGAAAAAACAAAATAAGCAGAAAAAGTTTTTTAAAAAAATCAATGTCTTGGTGGCGAATGTTCAGTTTGTGCACTACCATTTCATCTTATCAGCAGAAGTTGATGTTATGGTGGAGCCTTCATGCCTTTAAAGTCCTTTCAGATTTTCTTCATGTATGCTTCTAGGCCCTTTTCTTGCCTTTCATTGGGCATGAAGAAGTTAAAGAATATAAAAGAGTAATTTTTTTCCCAGCTATTTCAGCATTCTTTGTTACCTCAAAAGCTTCAATTACATCTTTTTCCTGTATAGCATTTCAATATACAAGTGATAAATTTAGTGTTATCTGAGATGCTTTTGGAAAAAATTCAGCAATTTGAGAAATTACAGTTTCAGCTAGAATGCCAGAGTCAAATAATTTCCTTAGATTGTTTCTTTTCTTTTTGTTCCTTTGCTGCTTTTGGTTTGGGTTTATTTTTGCTTTTCGCACCAGAAAAATCTACTATAATATGCTGATGTTGTATTTCTCCTGCAAAATCTTGTTTTTTCCTCAGCTTTAGCTTCACTAGTGAAGTGTAAAAGTGCAAATAATTCTTTTCATTTCTTTGCAATTCTTTTTGGCTCAGTAATATCTAAAATATCAGAACACAAAGCTTTGATTTCTTCTGTAGTAATATCACTAGGTAAATTTCCCAGATAGAGGATTCTAGCATCTCTTGCTTCATCATCAAGAGCCTTCTGTGAAAAGCTCCTTTTTTCAGTTTTCAAGAGTCTTTTCTGCTTTCAAAGTTTCCTCTGGTTTCTTTTTTTAGCATGTGTTTTTAACTGATTCCATTTGTTTTTCACAGCTTCTTCATTATTCTGCACACTTTGTTAAGTTACTATGACTATCATCATCTTCGTCATCAACATCTTCATCCATGTTGTCATCATTCAATTCCAAATCGTCATACTTAACTGTTTCCTTCAATTGATTTTCATTTTCTTTCATAGCAGTATTAACTTTATGGGGTTCGTAAAAAGTAACGTTATGTCTTAGTGTTTTTTTTTTTTTTTTTTTTTTTTAAAATTTAGGAATGGATTTACAGCCATATGAAATTACTTTATTGTTTGATGAATCTGGAATACCTTTTATAACATACTCATTCAAAGAAGAATTATGGATAGAAACTTTATGTGCGAGATATTCCTCAAGGCTAAAAAATATTCTTGTAAAGTTTTGAATGATTTCATATGATGAGATTCTATTATTTCATGTAATTGAAGGCTGTTAATTTTATTTGAAAATTCATCTAACAAATGGTGTTTTAATTGTTTCCAGTTAGTAATTTCATGAATTAATCTTATTAAAGCTGGACCTGTTAGAACTTTTTAACAAAAATTACTTGGTGAACAGGGTTTGTTATCTGATAGAGATTATCATCAATGTCTGAAATAAAAGTTTCAAAAGTTCTAATTAACATAAATGAAAAAGGGTTTAATCAGGTCAGCGATGTCTTTGAGACCAAAACATGGAAAAGAAACGCTCCGAGCCAGAAGTAATAAGTTTCGAGGCAAGTTATCAAGACAAGTTTTCCTTTTTCATTTTGTTTACATAAAGATTCATCTGGTGAGTGAGTAATGCTCACTTTTGCGACGATATCCGTGTGGGGGGTGAACTTTGTTCTTTGGTTCTTTTGGTTTTCCAAATATCATCATCATTTCCGTCTAACATCTCCTCTGCCGAAAATGCTAGTGAGCGCGTGCCATTATTACTTATCAAAAGAAGCATATCCCCACATACATGAGACGTGAAATTCAGCACTTCCCAGGGGATCTCCTTAAAAATTTTGTGGCACACAGATAACTCCTCTGCATGCCTACTGTGTGCCACTGATCAGTAAGAAGAAAGAATTGAATTGTTCAGAATTGAAACTGCGACATGTTATGGAAATATCGGAGATTAAGCATCGATTATTGTTTTAATAAGTCAATATTATTAAGCATGCATCTGTAATCATATTTTTTATTTAATAAACATTATCTGATTAAAACAAAGTAGTGGTATAATTTTTGTGAACGAGTAATTTACACCCACATATATCAGGATTTCTTTTATTAAACTGTAATATGTTCATGTTGATTTTTCTTTTCCCATGAATAAAATACTTCTGAAACATTTTCTATGTTTGAAATTGTTGTTTTGTTTCTATGTTGAAGAAAAAGAATTAAATAAGTAATCACATTTGTAGTTAAAGTAATGCTTCTAATGTAAAACAAAAAAAGGATTCTGCATAGTTGTTCAAATGTTAATTTAATTCAGCAGTTAATTTTCAGCACATTATGAGTAACATGATGTTCCATATGTTTGGCCATGAAGATGGGAGCTGAAATAAGTGAAAAAACATTAATAGTTTTTAATGTAAAAGAAAGGTAAATGTAATTCCAATGTCTTTTGGCAAGAAAGAAAAAATGTGTAATGGAAATAAGGAAAATATTTAAACAACATATGCACCTAAACAATGTGTAATTCTTTATAAATGCAGTTATGGAGCATGACTATATCAGATAGACACTAAATAAATGTAAATATTTCTTTTCTTAAAACTGGAATGATGTATGTGTAAATATATTAGCATAATTTTTTCTTCCTTTACAAAAGCAAATTGACTCTCATTAAAGAAAATAGTATTCTTGTTCCTCTTGTCTCTTATAAATTTTCAAAGTTTTAAATATCATGCAATTTATAATTTATTAATTAGTTTTATTTTCTACTGTCATATCCGGTGTTTGCTCGAAAACATATGGGGGGAAAACCTCTGTGTAATCAAGGAGCCCATATGTATATGTTTGTCTCTAACAATTGTGTGCTTTTTTTCGCAGCTCGGTCCTAGAAAAAAGTTTGCAAGCTATGATGGAGTGTGTTGATACTGTGAGTCAAGAAACGAACAAACTGACTAATCATCAAAGACAAGTTATAAAGCAGCAACAGGCTAAAAACCAGTATTTGCAAAAACGGGTATGTAGTTTATTTTTCCTTAAAATTAGACAAAACAGCAACCTCCTAGACAGTATAGTGGTTAGTGACACTGACTGCCAAAAGACCTAGGTTGGAATCTCAAAGAAGGCATGAGTATTTCTAAGCATATATTGTCTCTGCAGCAAGAGGGCATTCAAGATACCCATCGAGTCAAGAGCTCTCTTGGAAAATTAATACAAGGAGAAGAGAGGTGGTAGACCTTTGAACCTCCTCTTGTGTTGTTCTCCCTCAAAACTGAGGTGGGAGTATGCCTGTACGACCAGTGGTGAGATTTTGGTATACCTCCCACTTCTACCTGTACCTGTAGCTTTTAAATAAAACTGTTAATTATATACAAAGACTTCCAAGTTATGTTATATGTTGTGTTATACTTTGTGTTTTCTGTCTGTTTTCACCTGCAATGTAAGTGCAGTTAGATGAACACAGTACAGCTGAACATTTTCAAATGCATGTCCCCTTCCCCAAAGTATATCTGTCTGATATAACTGAAAACTTATTGTTTTCCCTCCATTTTATTTAACTTTCAAGTACTATAATAGCTTATAATTTTATCCTTCTTTATTGAAAATGTTCCCTAAAATACTTTTCTATCAGTGCTTCAATTGAAAAAAATAAGTTTTATTTATAGTTCATAATTTTATTAGTGTGAAAATGAGTAATTAATAATGCTACATTTACAAAGTAAAATTTTTCAATAATTTCTAGAAAAGTAATTACAAAAAAATTACTTTCTTTACAAGAAAAGATTGTAATATAGGGAATGAATGAAATTTAATGTAAAAGAAATTATTAAAAAATACAAAAATTTTTCATTGATCTGTGTGTATTGTTAAATTTTCCTATCAGTTGGCAAGCTTAATAGTTGTAATATCTGGTAATATTCCTACTTTTTTAAAATCATTTTAAACAACTAACATTCTGCAAAAATAATTTAAATAAAGCAAGAGCTCTTTTTTTCAATTATATTAACAAAAAATATTATGAAAACTTTTGATACTTTTCTGGTTACAAAGTGCCACTTAGTGTGGACTTTTACGTTATTAATACTTAACTGAGGACAAAAAAATTATAAAACACATTTCAGTTCCATGTTTAGCGTTTTCCCAAAAATGGGACTTTCAAATGTTGTTTTTTTGGCTGCTAGTTCCATTGCCAGACACAAGGAGTGAACATAACTGACACATCATGCTGCAATGTAAATGCTGCAACTTCAGGTAACATTGTATCAATTCACTGGAAACATCCAGCCCTACTGAGTCTGAGCAGATTGTTTGATTACCAGTATTAGGCATCATGCGACGTGATCAACTCAAGACTGTCTTGTGAACTTCATGGTGTTGCTTACCAAGAAACTGTAGCATTCTTGCTTGGTAATACTGGATTCTGCTCATAATTATTTCTTATCCCACAAGAATTTGTAATCTATTTATTGAGTTTCTTCATAAAATCTGAATATGTGCAGTGCATCTTCCTTTCATCTTAAGGTTAACATTTAAATTTAATTTTAAGAATTATGAGAACTGTTAATGTATTGGTTCTAAATTTGAAAAGAAGGCCCCTCAGCGGCCGGGCGGTGAAGTCGCTGAACAGTTGGTAGGTTTGATCTGAGGTTCGAATCCTGTGAACGTGCTGGTTGCATGCCTTTTTCATGATTTTCCCCATGTATTACATGTATACAAGTCAGTTTACCTTAGAAAGTCCTCCACGAAGGCAGATTGCCATAATTAAATAAACTAAACCAAACCTAAATTTGAGAGGAGGCTTAAAATAGACATTTACTGTTTATTGAGAATTTATAATTACTTAACCATTCATAGAACATTATTGGTCTAGAACATTTACAATGTACTCATACTTTAAAAAAAATTGATGATTGTGCTTTTTATTAAATGAGATAATTTCATGTATTTAATGTATTGATGAGAAACTGTATGTTTTGTTCATTTTTTTAGGCTGCTGAAAATGCTGCTCGTGCTGCCAAGGATGAACCACCATTGCCTGATGATGATATCAACAAGCTTTTCAAGCCCATACCTCCACCATCCCGTTTGGATGCATTACTAGTTTCGGGTCAGATAGATAGCTATTGTAAACAGATTTCCCAATTTTCTTCTCAAAATCTAGCCAAATTATTTATGACAGAAGCTTTACAGCAAAAGTAAATGTCTCATTGTGAAATTAAAACATTAAAGTGATGCTGGTTTTTTTTTTAACTTGTATTGGTCTGCTTTTTTTTTTTTTTTTTTTTTTTTTTTTTCTGGTATTGCTAACAAAGACTACACAAGTATGATTGAAAACCATAAAATCAGTAAAAATGGGGAGGAACCTGCATGAAAAGAAGTTGGATGATTTTTTTAACACATTAGGCACAGTATGTAGGAATTAAGAGTGATAATTGGATTTTTTTTTTTTTTTTTTTTCTTCCCCTGTTAGAGGAATGTGATATACCATTGAGTATCTGAAAAATATACATTGCAAATGTTAAGATAAAAAAGTATAGAAAGATGAAGCAAAATATTATTTGGAAGTTTTATTTTTCTCTTACACCTACATGAAAGAAAGTTGGGTGATATTTTTTTAACACATTAGCTACAGTATATAGGAATTTAAGAATGCTAATCAGAAAGTTTTTGTCTGTCAGAGGAATATCATATACAGTAAGACCCCGCTTAACGCTGTTTCGTTTAGCGCTCTTTTATTTCAACCCGGGGATTCTCCGAAATTGTGCGCAGCGCTAGGTTTCCAAATAACATATCCGAAACAGTGTAGTTGTGTTTCTTGCTTGGTGGACGCATTTTTATCATTTGAAACATTTGTTAACATTATTGTAAGTTTAAATTTATATAATACTATAACGATTAATACAGTGACAAATATTATGATCTTTATTTTTTATCATGGGTGATAATAAAAAACAAGAAAAGAAAGCAACCAGAAAAGCATTTCACTGGAAACTCAAATGCTAGTGATTAGAAGATTAGATTCTGGTGAACGTGAATCTCAAATTAGTGCTGCATTGAATTTGGCAACTTCAACAATAAGGACAATTTTTAAGAATAAAGAAAAAATACTGTCATTGGCAACTGCAACTACGTCAAGCTCTGCAACTAGAATTACCCATTCTAGAAATAACATTATAGAGAAAGTGGAAAAACGACTCTATGGATTGACTACGAAATTGAAAGCAATATGCCATTAAGCCAATCTATCATAATGCCTTCTTAACAAAAAGGCAGAAAATTGGAAACCCAGAATAGACTGAATGATCTGACTGAGAATTTTATTTGTTTTTAAAAGTATATTCGTTTATATTTTTTTTATTTTTGTAAGAAATAAATGTTTCATTTTATTTTTATTAAAAAAAATTATTCAATTTAATACCTAACCATTTTTTTATCCGTCTTCCCCTAACCCCATTATTTACATGTTAAGATAGCCTCGCTTAGCGCTGTTTCGCATTACGCTCTACTTTGATGGAACGTATCCCCCGCGTTAAGCGGGGTCTTACTGTACAATGAATATCTGAAAAATACATGTTGCAAATGTTAAGATAAAAAGTATAGAAAAGTGAACCAAAATATTGTTTGGAAGTTTTATTTTTCCCTTAGACCTGCATGAAAGAAAGTTGGATGGTATTTTTAATACTTTTAGCTTCAGTATTTAAGAATGTTAGTCAGATTAATGATAATAGTAAGCCAAATTTCCTTAAAGAGCAGTTTTCCACTAGGCAAACGGCTGTCTTATGTTTTCTCGTAATCGATTAAACAATACAATTCATACACACACTGACCAATGAATGAGAAACCTCTGAGATTTTCATTCACTGCGTGTTAGGGATGAGGTATGCAAATTGTTTTTATGATGTGAGTTACACTTGGTTAGAATTCTAGTATAAGTAGGGTGTATACTAGAGTACTTTTCACGATGAATAAAGTAAAATGGGGGGGAAGACAGATCTTTCACCATTTGGAAAAGGACTTGATTGTTGGTGCCCATTTAGCAGGAGCCTCCGTTTTGAAGACAGCAAATTTCGCCATGTTCTCAAAAGCAGCCATATCCAAGGTTTCAGAAGTTGTAATCAGAATCCACAGTTCTTCTCTGGGATATTATATCTGTAGTTCGAGTACAGTTTTCCAAGAGAATGACCAGCGACGTCTCTGATGAATTATACAGCAGAACAGGGACTCTACTGTGCTTTAACTGACATAGATCATCAACCAAGGCTCTTCCCAACAGATTTCAGTTCGAACTATGCATAGTTGGGTGCCTGTGAGAAAAACACTCGTTTCTGCCCGACATGCAAGAATTCGTTTATGGTGGTGTCGGGAGAGGACACACTGCACATCTGAAGATTGGAAATGGGTAATGATTGAATGAATCATGCTACACCTTATTTTGTTATGCCCTGATGTTCCTCAAGGGTAAACAAACAGCCATGAGATACCTAGATATACTGACAGATCAAGTGCACCCTGCAATATTGCATTTTTACCCTGTTGGGTTCTTCATGGATGATAATTAAGTGCCAGAAGTATTCAAAATTGGTTCGCTGAACATCAGTCTGACTTCCAACACCTTCCCTGACCGCAACGTAGCCCATATCTTAACCCCGTAGAAAACGTATAGGATATGGTGAAAAGACGTCTGACAGCACTCTCCTCTTCCATCTAATTTAATAGACTTAAAAAGCTGCATAGCCAATGCATGGTATTCTCTGGATGTAGATGCATATAGATTTGATGTCCAAATGAGTCAGAGCTGTTATCTGTGCAAAAAGTGGTCCAATAAAATATTGATCTTTGGTTTCTAATTCATTGGGCAGTTTGTGTATTATGAGACTGTTTTTAATAGACAGTTAAAATTTCAGTCATCTTAATTTTTTAAAGAGCTAGAAGAAATGAATTTTCCTGTGAAATGCTGAGGTTCATTAAATATATGTTACCGAGGTTCACTAAATGTATGTTCACGGTATGTTACTCTAAATGCCATACACATGAATATAGAATCTTAGGCCATCTAGATTTGGCAGTCATGATGAACTTTTATTTTTAAATTGTTGGGCATCTTTAAATGTAAAGAAAGGGAAGGGAATTAAGATGTATTAGGTCATACCATGTTGTAAAAAAAAATATCCGAGTAATGTTTTTCAAGCAATTTTTTATTATTGTTTGATAAAAGATATTTAATGGGTGTTTTATATATATATATTTTAGAGTAATACTTCTGTTGAAACTTGTTTCAGAAGTAGTTAAATTTCCAGTTGTTTTATGAAATATCTCTTGTCAGTTTTTATCATTTCCTCGAATGTATTAAATTTTCTTAGGAAATTTTACCATGTTATCAGTTTGATATGCAGATAAAAATTATCGGTAATTATTATTAATCTGTTTTAAAACTATCAAATATGTGTTTCAACCACTTAATTTTACAATTTTGCTCCATTTAAAACTTATTATTGTTTTTTAACAGATATTTAAAGAATTCAGCATGTACAAATAAAATGGGTCACGATTCATTAGTAGCAATAAATTTTTCATACCTGATCATTGTTCTTCATAGAAACTGACTTGAATTATAAACAAGTTCAAAATATTTGTTTATTTTTAAGTGGAAATATTATTTGTATTATGGCACATTTTCTATTCTTAACCTTAGAATCCCATAACAAATAACCTTGCCCGGCCTTCCCTACAACAGGAATTGGGACGTTATACTCAGTGCCTTTATATGATCTTAGCTGCTATAGATTAGGACACTCCTTCTTACTGGAATATTTTCGCATATAGCATTTTTAGAACAATATTTGTCTCGCAGACAAATGGTTAGCTGTAACGTTTCATTTCAGAATCTGACTTAAGTGCATTTCTGTGTTGCCTTGAAGAAGTTGAAGAGTTTAAACGGACAAAATTTTTGGGGTAGACCTGAAGCGAGAGTGATAAGGGAAATTCTATTTCTTGGGATGAATCGGAGAAAGAAAATTTTGCTGAGGTTGAAAATCACGAATTCACATATAGCAACAAAGATGGAAATGAGGAATTATCACTTGACAATAAAAATGAAGAAAAAACAATGTTTGGAAAACAGACCCATGATGATGAAAATTTTCATTTAAAATATGGAGCTAAAAAAAAATGCTAAACAAGTTAAAAAATTCCGAAATTTTTTCTGTCATGAAAAATCTTTTTTTACCCTGATAAAATTCAGCTCAGTGGTAAAGGTAATTGGTCATCTGTTCCTAAATCAAGCAACACAAGTACAGCATCTCTTAATATTATCCATTTATTAAAGAACCAAAGGACTGCAGACACATTGGATCAGATATGCAACAAGATATACTGTAGTAGAAAACTCGACGAAGGCCTCTTTTCTGTGTTTCGCAGCATATAGTATATTAATATAAAATCCGAAAAGGCATCATCGAGAAAAAATTCGCAATAAAGCTAAGTGAAGATGTTCTTGCTCCATGAATGAAGAAGAGTTACAGCATATCAACTTTGCCTCAATCAACAAGAACAATTATAAGGGAACTGTTGAAACCTCCTGAACAATACAGTAAAAAAAAGAAAAAAATTATGCTTTTGCCCATACATTGTGCATACAATAACTCCCAACTTTTGTCAAACATGTTCCAGAGTAATGCTCAGAGAACAACATGCTAGTATGTGTAAAGACTGCTTTAAGAATAAATAAATGATACTTTCTTGCTACCTTGAAATTTCAGAGTCTTGAAATCATCTGCGGGTAGTATACTTTTATTTTAATTAACTTTTAAAATAGGTTTTAAACATGCTTCAACACAATTCATCTCGTAGACGAATGGTTACTATTCCCGTAAGTTTTTCAAAGGATAGCATTCTAGAGTTAGAAAGGAAAAGAATGTTTTTACGAAAAGATTATTTTTGATATGATGTGAATATTCAAGTATAAAACATGTTTAATTTACTAGTTAATGCTTTTCTTTATTGACCATAATACAAGAACGTAGAACAAATTTTGGGAAAGATGAAATTGCTTCTTGCATTGGACAAATTGAACACTGAAAGTTTAAAAGATTCATCTTATATGTCTCAATACATCATACACATTTTCCATCTGTTGTTATCACTGTGGATCCTAAATTCTGCTTCCAGTGCGTGCTCAAATTTTAAAAGTTTTGCTGTTTCTACATTTTGTTGCTCGGTGTGTCACTGAATTCTAAAAATTCTGCCACACC